AGCAATTTTTTGGGGTGTGTTTGGTATAGGAAATAGAGAGAGAGAGAGAGTAGAAGGGATATAAATGAGATGTTATTGTATGTGATGTTGTCTAAGACTTGACTATACTTTAGGACAGTTGGGTTTGACTTTGAAAAATCGATATATTTTTCTCGGTAAACACGGTATTTACAAAAGTAGGTCAAAAAAAACTTTCCACTCAATATTCTGGCACAAATAACACACATTTTCTAGAAAATATTTATCATAATATAAGCATTGAATTTAAATAGATATTTGTAACATTATTAAATAAAATTTCTCAATAGTTATACATAATTATAAATAAATTCTGCTGAAGAATGTTTAAACTAAAATTTAAAAAATGATAATTTTATTGATTACAAATGTCATAACATTCTCTCTCTCTCTCTCTCTCTCTCTCTCTAACACACTTCCCTCCCCTTCTTCTTCACTACTTTCTCACCAATACTTACATCCCTTTCACTATATGTTGTATTATTGGCCATCATTTCACTGTGTTGTTAGTCAATCTTTTTCCTACATAAAGCAAAATTATTCTTTGTTTCCTTATATGGCATTATATTCCGTACAGAATTTATTGATTTATTCTACTAGTTTAATTAGAAATAAATTAAAATTTTAGTTAATTGCATTCACTGTAAGGGATAGGCGCTGAATAGTGTATATCGTGTTTATTGTTCATTATATAGAGATATATAAAGTAAAAGACCAAACAATTCTGGTTCAAACCGCTTCTACCATTGGCCTCCATAGCTTCCCCAATCCGTTCTCAACTACATGTTATATAACACATAGATGTTCTGTACTGTACAGTATTGTATGAGCAGATTTTGCGCAAAAAATAACCATTTTCATCTAGAATTATATACTAATACTTCCTCATAGGCTTAGGCATAGACTGCGAAATATATTGACACTTGATTTGAAATGAAAAAAACTAATCAAAAACTAAACACAATTTCCTGTTATTGAATATTGAGTACGTTTTTTAAATATCCGATAGTATTTTTATCACATTTATAAGATTATGCAATATATGGGACATACAGTACATCTATATGTAGTATAACATGCATAATCCAGATTGTGCAAAAGGGTTTACATGTCTGGGAATAATGACTTGGTTTAATAATAATAATCAATATCAAATAAAATATTAATCGCTTCAAAAGCATTTATTATTCATTGTTTTAGGTTTTATAATAAATGTAAAACTAGTGTTAGGTTTGGGTTTATAATGAATGGGAAGAGTAAAGGCAATACTGATATATTGATTGCTAGCTATGCTATACGTGTAAAATATTAAGGTTTTTTAAATGGAACAAGGTGTGAAACAATAGGCTAGGAAGCAGTCATCTGCAATATTGTTTCCAGGTAATACCGGATCAACCCAGTTTCTAATAAGGCTAGATTGTTTGTTTATATTGTTTGATAATTTGTAAATTTATTATAATTATTTTGTCTAACCATTATGAATAATAAAAAATATTATTAAAACAAATTATTAAAATTATTATTAATGTGGCACACGTTTATGTTATGGACAAATTTACCCAGACACAACAGTCGGAAATCATATGGGTAATAAATGGCAATTTAATCAATGGCATATTTAAAACTGATAAATTTGTGAAATAAACTATTTATACTGATAAATATTTTTTAGTAGACTTTACCCCAATTGTTACGTAAATGCTTTTTATCGTAAATGCCTTTAATAAGTGATTTATTTTATATAACTAAATATGATAAATATTATCGCAACTATTTTATGTCATTTAATATATCTATTGATAAAATTATTTTCTAAAACAATTAACAACTTTTCATCTCTGGTTTCAATCAAATATTTATTATTCAATACGAGTCGGAAGTAAATGATAAAAAACAACCATGATAATAAATTTACTACGAATTTTAATAACAATAATAACTGATTAAAATTACAAACATTGATAATCATGTGAAAAATCAAGAAAAATTCAAAACAATTTAAAACACTATTTAAATCAATGCACAAAACATATTAAACTTCAAACCAACAGTTTCTATAAAAATAAAAGTTTTAATTAATATAATTGACCAAGCTCATTAACCAAGTTCATTTTCACTAGTGTTGTGAATAGTTATTAATATTATCTATATAACATTTATTTTCATTGTTATAATTGTAACATTCAATTAAAAGTCTCTAATTAAGTTTCACAATTAATTTTCTCTTGCCAAAGTGCAAACATTTAGTGCATCACAAAAATGCCCTTGCTAAACGAGAAAACCGTTGCGGACATATTGCTGGCCCAACAGCAGACACAACAGGCCAATGGTGGTCACCTTCAGGAGCTGGACGGGAGTGGGGTTAAGCAAAAAATGCTAACCAATACCGACGATCATCCCATTATGTGTATGGATGTGGAAAAGGGTGGCATTAAATTCACGACACCCGCCGGTGCCATAGGGAGTGACAAGAGATCCCTACCCGACCGCATACCCGCGTTTGGTCTACTTATGGCACTCATTTCGGTCGTGTGTTTCAGCATTGGATCCGTTATAGTGAAGGTGTTGACCGAAATGCATACAATCCAAGTGCTGGTCATCAGGTATTTTTTTATTTTATTTCATTTATAATATTATTTTGTATGTTTATTTATAATATTTTCATCCAGCTGTAATTTCCCCCCTAAATTACCTTAAATTTGTGCTTAAAAAATAGTTGAATATACTTATTGGTTTAGTTTAGATGAATATTAGTTTATGTAATATTAATTTACTTTACTCTAATTGTTTACAATACAATCATTACAAACTGTAACGTATATTTTACAACATTATTGTGAGAATTAAAATAATTTATTATAGTTAAAATAACTGGTCTTAGATTTGATCGACATATATTATCAGTAATATGACAATTGTATTTTATTTATTTTAATTTAGTTTATTTTATTATTATCATCATTTTAATCCCTATTATTATTAATAATAATAATTTAATAGTGAATATTATAACATTATAACTAACTCTAATTTTATAAAAATTAATTAATTCCCACCAGATGTGTTATACAATTCATATTCTACACAATCACCGCGCTCATCTACCGATACCCATTGATGGCGCCTAAGGGCCATCGCGTGGACCTAACCCTACGGTGTATATCGGGCACCATATCGCTGATCGCCATATTCATGGCCTACCGGCTTATGCCACTGGCGGACGCCTCTACCATACACTTTGCGTCTCCCGTATTTGTCACGATATTCGCCTACTTTATACTTAAAGAGCCGCTAACCGTACTACAGGTGTTGACGGGCACTATCACACTCACCGGGGTAGTTATCATCGCGAAACCCGAGTTTTTATTCGGCGCCGAGACTGAGTCCGTACACGAGAACCGACTATTGGGCACATGTCTGGCCAGTGTGGCCGCCGTCACCGCCAGCCTGTCCATGATCACTTTGCGTCGACTCAAATCCACGCCGGTAGCCGTGGTGATAATGTGGTATTCGGGCACCGTGGTGATTGCCGGCACCGTAATCCTGGTCATTCTGGGCAAACTGACCCTGCCCACGGGTTGGTGGACGTGGACCCTATTGGCGGGCATTGGTCTGTGCGGTGTCGGTGACCAGTATTTCCTGACGGTGGCGTTCAAGTACGAGTCCGCTGGGCCCGTGTCGGTCACCCGTACGTTCAACATTGTCCTGTCGTTCATATGGGAAGTGGTGTTACTCCAGGAGTCGATTGAGTGGACAAGCATTTTGGGCGCCTGTCTGGTCAGCTCGTGTGTGGTTATATTGGCGATGGATAAGTGGCACCAGGAGTCGCCCCAACTGTTCCGCCGGCTCAGGCATAAGCTGTTTGGTTGCCGGTGTTGTTGTCGGGGTGTTAGAGATGTTGACGGGAGTGAAGGTAGCGGTGAAGTTGTGACAAAACCAAGAAGTATAAGTAGGGATATGGCCGGCGGCAGCGCCGATAGCCTGGACTCGATCGTTGTCCAGTCGACTGTCCACTCGAACGCTATATTACTGGGTGGCCACTCATCCGATGAAGATGATCATGGTGGTCGTCGCGAAAGGGCCTAGGCGGGCTTGCACAGTGGTTGTGGCTAGGGTGTCCGTTTATTAATTACACACCCAGTACATCTAATATAGTCATTATTTATTACAAACCAGTATTTTGCGCTCGATTAATTTTATGAGCAATTTTAAACCGATCGGGGTGGTATCGTGACAACGAATGTAACATGCCTAATACGTTTTGCACCCCCTGCCCACCGCCTGTAGTTAATAGCACTACGGTTGCTATTATATTATAACTATGTAGATTACTTAGCTATGCTATTAGCTAAAATTAAATTTATCATCATAATTATATAATAATGCAATTAGTCTCCCAAATGCACTATTTAGTGAAAAATATAATCCCGTTGAATAATTAAATGCCCATTTAGCGATTTAGCGTTAGCTCTCTATTTATTATCATGTTAAGTTTTACGGACGATTATTCTCATCGAGGTCATTAGTTGACCGTCTAAGGATATTATACACACAAAAAATTAATGTTACACACATGAAACAATTAACACTGAAATAATATTGTTATCCAGACCCGAATTTTCGGGACACTTTGTACACCTGAAAGCAATATATATTCATTGCTTGTGTTTTTATATTGGATTTATTTGATCTGGTTTATTTGAGATGGGCCGGTACTCAGGGGCACTTTATGTATTTAATTTATTTAGGTGTATAGTGTATGTGTATTATATGTTAGGATACAGTAAACACTATTTATGATAAACATATTTATTTTGATTAATATTTTATTATATTCTCATATAAAATAATTAACAATATTTATTAATACTAATTATTTTGGTTGATATGAACAGTATTTATATATCCCGTTATACACTGTATTAGTTCATCAAAGTTAGTGTTCACTCTATGTTAACATATGGATAATGTTTTTCAATATAATTATTATAATTTATATTTAAAATTTTAATATAACAAATTGTTATAATTTTTATTTCTATTTCTCTTATATTAAGAGTCAATTTTTATATATTTCAATATATTTTTGCCCAAATATAACCACTATTTAAAATATAATATATTTAGTTACACAACAGTACAATCAGACGAAATATAATGTTCACTCTGTAGACAATACAATACATAAAAAATAGAAATAGTTATTATATTTTTGACAACTCCTGTATAATTAGTTAATAATTATAATTAATATTATTATTTGTTTTTTATAATTATATTATTAATACTTTAAGTTAACAAATATTGTATAGATTTTTTTGTGAATGAAATTCATACCAAAAATTATTGATAAAAATGTTTTTGAGACATATTTTTAATTATTAAAGTAATTATTTATTAATTACTTTTATATAAGTAGTGATAGAAAATGCAAATATATTTGTACTTATATTTAATTTAATTATTATCTTTATTTATTTATATTTATTAATATTTTCTTTTATTATAACTAATAATGTATAACAAAAAAACGACAACAAAAATATATTAACAAATTTTATACAAAAAATGTTAAAACAAAACAAAAACAACAAATTTTTGAAAAATGTAGAAATCATTTACATTTTATAATCAGATAAATATTATTCTGATATAAAACAAATCAATTGTATTTAAATTAAATAACAATAAATATCATTATCATTAAAAATAAATCTAACAATTATTACAAATTAAAATAACTAATTAGTTATATAATCGTCGATTATTAATCGAGATGATATAATTAAAGTAACGAAAACAAAAGTGACATATATAAAGTTTAATAGCGAACATACAATTTGTATAGTTGTTATATAAACATGATAATTTAACTATGTCAATGCCACCACTATTTTCAAAATAGACCGGTTTTAAGTCTATTTTCAACCAACCACAAACTGTGTGAATGAAAATGAATTTTAAATAAACAGGTTTGAATAGACATCTATGAAAATAAATGCAGTATTCAAATGTACTCAACAGCAAAAACAAGTGTTCATTTGTACGCAAATGTGTATTAATAATCACAAACAGACTGTAAACTCATCACAACAATAGTGTTGTCCAGATATCAAATCATTGTGTATTTAAAACATGGTATAATTAATTGAGTTAATACCTTATTTTATTAATTATAACAACTAATAAATAGTTTTAACTAATAATTAAACTTACAGTTAAATCAAAAAGTGAACACATTTTGCAATTAATTAAAACCAAAAACTAATAACAACTGTAACTAAAACAGCGATAACAACAACAATGAGTATAACAATAGCGGGACTACCGATCCGTACGGCCTGTCGGGCGCTATTCGGGCGCCACATCACCACCACTGCCGTCGTAACCGCGCGCACCTCTACCACAACCACCAACACCACTAGTGGCCAACAACAACACCCGGCCTACGAGACCCTAACAGTAACAACACCGGCACCGCATGTCCTACACGTGCAGCTGAACCGGCCGTCCAAACGCAACGCCGTCTCCCGCGTAATGTTTGCCGAAATTGGCGACTGTTTCGCCCGCATAGACACCGACCGGCGGTGCCGAGCGGTGGTGCTGTCGGGCGCCGGCCAGTGCT